ATAAAATAAAATTTGGGAACTACTTAATTTTTTTATTTTGGTGTTATTTTAGTTTGTTTGAAGAAAGCTTTCTAATGATATTTTTTGTTATAAAACGTATTTATTTTTTTATAGTTTAATAAATTACATAAATTAATCAAAATATATAAACAACTTATTAGGGGTAAATTGATCATTTTATTTGTTCAGCCATGTCCAATTCTATCTTACCAAACAATAAAACAATTGTCATTCCTGTCTGGATACCAAACAATAAAACAGTTGTCCTTTCCTGTCTGGATACCAAACGCACTCTAAATGCCTAGGCCCGTATGAGATGCGTTTGGTACACAGTACATGAACGTTGTCCCACGTTTGAAACAAAATTAGACCAGGAAAAGACCAAGGTGTTTTTTGTCCCAAATCTGGGAGACAGACAAAAATTCCGTGTCAAATTAAAAAACTAAAATCTTTAACAATTCTTTCACCTGCCTACATCACTCTAGCCCATTTGTCTAGTACTGCCTGCATACCAAATGCACTTGAACAGTTTGAGTACATGTATAAAGATTCTTCTAACTGATGAATTCTTAACATTTTTTACCATCTTGTTTGTGTTTTTGGCTGCAGACAAATGGTGAAGATCAATGCAGGTTTCTTGTGGACCATATGGAAACCGTTTACGATGGCAGTTTCTACAATCTAAAGATCGTACCAGATTTTGCTGGCATTGATCGTTTTGTCACTGGGATTAGATCATAAGCTGTTAAAACTTGAAGTGTAACTTCTAATTTGTGACACTTATTACTCAATTCTTGGAAGACATGGCTAAATTCAAATTCGAATTCAAATTATCTGTCGCCATATAATTACATATGCAAAGAGTTTTAACTTTTCCATCAATCATCGCTTATCGAGCCAACATTTTAGGTTTCCAAAATGCTTATCTAAAAGGCAACAACAATTCACTTCAATGATTTTTCTGATTCTTGTTCTTCTTGTGAGCATTCATACATTTGCATTCCCAGATGATCCCACATCCAAAATGATTTCAAAACCAAGAATCTTGGGTCGATATCTTCAATTTTGTCCCAGTTTTTTGGTTCGTAGAGCGACTGAATGCATCATCCAGTAACGGGTACTCGGGTAGTTCGATGAAAGACCAACCATGGTTCCTAATGTGACCATCGGGACATACGGGTCCATTGTTTCTTTACCTTCTTATGAGACAACTTGAATCGGCTCCAACTCTTCCTACGTTTGGAGGTTTCACAGAAGAAACCCGAGGCTACCGCTTGCTGAAGCCAGAGGTCAAACTCTTCCTCTTCATCTGTCATTTCTGCATCTGAATCCCATGGATATCTGCTTGAGCTGCATCTTTGAGTTTTCTCTAATCCTACCATGTTAACATGAAAACTCGGCCGATGGGTATTTGGCCTACACGCCATTCCCTGCCCACATAAACTTTAGAGTCAAATTCTCGACTCCCAATTTTTTTTTTGGGAAGGGTGTCCTAGCGTATGTCGAACTAATCCTAGCAAATTGCAACTTTGAGATTGATATCAGCCCTGATTTTTCCTTGATAAACTCACTTGCCACAACTGTTGTGAAGGCCTGGAATGGAACCCAGGGTAGATGGGATATTCCACCACATCCCCTGGGCCTCAACCACTATGCCACAACCCTTGTGGTTTCGACTCCATGGTTTACATCATGGTGCATTAACACATGTCCTAAGCATGGGTTATTTAGCTAAATGACCTTCTAGCAGGATTTTTAAAGAGAAATCGACTAAAATAGCTATTTGGACCCTCCAATTCACTTTATAACCACTTTTTGAACTCATTGACATATTTAGCCGAAAATTACGCAAGTGGGATTATTGCGTAATCCATTACTGAATTAAAATAACGAGGAAAAATGGGCATTAAGCAAGTTGCGCAAGTGCTACTTGTAACTTGTGTAATGCCTATGTAATGCCCGTTTTTCTTCACTTCTTTTAATCCAAAAAGTGGATCACGCAAGTTGCGTAATGCCACTTGTGTAATTTCCGGCTATATCTGTAAAGTGAATATGGGATATCTGATTGGCTATTTTAGTTAATTTCCCTTCTTTAAATCCATGACCTTCCGACAGGTTTTGAGAAGCCTCTTCCTAACGGGAGAATGTCTTATGCCTAGAAACCTGCTAGAAGGTCATTTGACTAAATAACCCTCATAAGCACACACCTGACAAATGGCCCATTCCGACACATCAAAGATCTTGCTCTGAGCACATACGAAGGCCCGTGGAATTTCCACCTGGAATCAAAGTAGATGTTAATCTCAACATCATGCATCTTTCGTGGTGCTTGTCATACGGTCCATATTTCAGATAAGATGACGAATCGTGTGAGAATAGGAGTTAATTGAGAAGTATAAGAAGAGATTTTGGACCCTTGATTATTTTTAATCCCAAAACAACCCATGAATTGTGCTTTAAAAGTCCAGTGTATCTCATTAGTGTTGATCTAGTGGTTCTCTTCAGTGAGGATTGATCCAAGGGTAGAGATCACTTCTTTTATCCTTCTCACTATAACTTTCATTCCCACCGGAACCCAACCCTTTCAGATAATAAGTTTCCAGTTCTTGAAAGAAATGGCAAACCTTTTGAGGATGATCAGAGGTGAGTGAACCTTTGTACTCTACCCATCCATCCCCATCCCCGGCTTGATGATATTGACAACAATCCTGAAACATACAAGTCTTGTCAGTATTAAAAACCAAACCAAACAATCCCAGTATTTTTTTAGGGTGAGATGTAGGTAGACCTGTTCTCTACCCCAAAGGATAGAACGGTTGTTTCCATGAAGATCCCTTATTTGTGCAAAAGTGTGAGTTTTTAAAAAATCCCATCAGTTTCTTTCCGTGAAGAAACTTTTTTTCTCAAATTAAGTCCTCACCTGACACCATCTTGCCTTCGACTTTGCCCTATTTGTACATATCCATATATGAGAAAGTCCACATTTCGTGCACTGTATACGTCTTGATTCCTCTGAATAGTAATCGGCACTCGCCTGCTTTGTACAGAGTTAAGGCAATATTAAGCCACATTAACATAGAAGCAAGCCCAACTCATCAATCCCCACAAAGATCACATGTCACTCCCCATAGCCCAAAGGCCCCAAAGCAACAATCGGCCAAATAACCTCCTAATCAACTTAAAAGAATGGTGGAAGTTATCGCTAACCTACAACTTAGGGCTTGTAAGTGGATTGAAAATCTAATTTTCTATCCATGTAGAATGGGTTGTTACAAACTCCCCACTTAAATTCCTGGTAACACCACAAAGCCCAAAGCAACAAGCTAGTCTAATAACCTTGTAATCAGCTTAAAACCATAATGGAAGTTATTGGTGGCCCACAACCTTCAGATTATAAGGGCTCACAAATCTTATTGTTTATGATTCTATCTAAAGTAAATTACAATTTTCGTCCTATGGTTTGTTAATAATTTCCACTTCCATTCTTATAGTTTAGAAATTTCAAATTCCATCCTGTGCTCTGCAATTTATTGTTGTTTTCGTCTCTGGACTAAAAATTCCTACCTTTAAATGCAAGAGATCAAAACAGTACAGAATTGTAAACCACAGGGACCGAAACTACAATAAATTGTAAACCATAAGAACGAAAATAGAAATGAATTACAAACCATAGGGACGAAAACCGCAGTTTCTCAACCACAGGGACGGAAATTGCGATTTCTATGTGGGACAGGTTATTACATCAGACATACAAAGCCGTATAGTTATACCTGACAAGATGTACTAGCAGACTTGTGAGACAAACTTTTTAATTCTTCATTTCTCAAGAGCTCATCATAGTCCCTTTTTTTCATAGAATCAGAAAGAACCTGAAAGATCATGTCATTATGAGTTCAACATCTCCATAGAAGAAACATATCTAGCAAACCCTGCAATGAATAGACGATATACTTGCCTCATATGCACATTGAACTTTCTTAAAGGATTCACTCGCCAATGGACTTCCCATGTTTTTATCGGGGTGCACAAGCATCGCCTAACAAGAGGGGATCAAAATGCAAGTCAATGGACTAAAAAACATGTAAAACTCTTTCATCGATGGGTCATTTGATTAAGGGCTTGTTCGTTAGCTGCTCCATGAGACTCACGTTTGTTTGTTGGCAGCTTAATGAGCTTAATGGGACTCGCGGCTTATTCGGCCGGTTATGCATGACTGTTTGGTAATGGCTTAATGATATAGAAAGTGACTTATTCAGTAAGCTTCTAGGGGGAGCTTTATGCAAAAAGCCAAGTTTTTTACGAACATGCCCCTCCCAATTAAAAACACGCTTGTTCTGTCTATTAAAAAACCCTTCCAAACAAAAACTTTTCCAATCTAAAGAGAGATTAATCCACACATACATATGTAACCATATAGAACTTAATGGAAAACCAAACAAACAACCCCTTATTAGCTCAACTATATAGGACTGTTTAGTAGTGGCTTAATGATATATAAAGTGACTTATTCAGTAAGCTTCTAGGGAGAACCTTTATGCAGAAACCCAAGTTTTTTGCAACCCGACCCCTCCCAATTACAAAACATGGTCCTTCTATCATCTATGTCCCGAATAAAAATCTTCTCACTCTATATAGACAGATTAATCCGCACAGACAACTTTATCCATACAGAACTTAATGGAAAACCAACCAAACAACCCCTAAATGACACCTTCCAACAAGTTTATTACATCCATAACCTTACTCACAGGTTTGACAATGCCACTATTAACAGAAGTATGTCACTTTCATACACAAGAATGCCTAAAAACCTGTCCAAGGGTCATAGATTTAAAAAACACTTGGTAGGAAGTCACTTAGCTAAATAACCCTGATATGTTTATTTAGGTAAATAACCTTAAATAAGGTTTTAGTTAAATTTATGACCTCCTTTTATCTGTTAAAAGAAATATGGTTTTATACTCATCAGAAGGTCATGGATTTGATTAAAATTTCATTTAAGATTATTTACCTAAATATCTCCAAAAAACTAGTAACAAGACTGGTAGTCAACGAAGCAAAACAAGCCTACCTTTTTCTTATATTCCTTCTTCAAGGAGGTCGCATCAATGGTCCTGTATCGAGAAAAACCTAATGCTTCATAGTGATCCAAACATTCAAGGATTCTTTTCATCTCGTTGATCGCATTTTTGTCGTTTTTGACCACAGGGATCGAGATGGTTGAAGCTTTCTTCTGTTTGTTCCCAGAAGTTGCTGGTTTGCTTGAAGATTTACATGACTCCACCTGCTCGGATTCCTCAAATGGGACAGAAGACTTGTTCTCTTTTGAGAAGTCATCTTCAACAAATGATTCAGGTACTTTTTGCTCTTCAAACTGTATCTTTTCGCTTGGATTATCACACGATTGGAGCATGCAGATTAGTGCATCACAGGATAGAAAAGCAAGATTAATCGATATCAAAACTCCAGACCACCCGATTTGTTGTTTTACGTGGTAGAGAGCATATACCGTTGCCACTAAGACCACCAACCTTATATGGTTTAGTGAAAACAAGAAACCTGCTATATGTCATAATAGTTTCATTACTGAAGTAAACAACGACCCTGATGACAAATGGCGTTATATTTGTAGAGGAAAGCTTAAATGAGAACCAGGGAACCAATTATTTCATATGTTATTCACAGTGAATAATCATGACAATCATGTACATTCATTGTGAATAAGTTCTCATAATGGATATCTATCAAGAAATTCATCATGAATAAAACATGAATAGTTGATTCTCTCATTTGAACATGCCCCTACATTTTTAGCCCCCATAAAATTTGGCAAAAAACTGAACATACCTCCAACAATGAATAATGGACCAACGATCAAAAAGTTAACATACATCCGTAGGACCAAAAGGGAAAAGAGCCCCACTACCAATAGACCTGGAGTGAAACCCAAATAGCAGACAGCACATCCAGCAGTTCCCTGGAGAAACAATGGTACTGTTAGTGGCTTAAGCATTATTTCCATAAGTTCGCTCCCAAGGCCCCAAATACTTATAAAACAAAAAGCTACATCTATAACCAAATCAAACCAAACCAAACAAGCCCATTATGCCCTCACCTGGAGGTGGAGTCTAGAGGGTGGGATATACACAAACCTCTATCCCGAAGAGCAAAATGGTTGTTAATAACAAAGGGTCTGTTTGGTTGGTTTTCCATTAAGTCTTGTCTGAAGAAAGTTGTATGTGTGGATTAATCTGTCTGTATAGATTGGAAAGGTTTTTGTTTTGGAGGGTTTTTTCATAGATGGAAGAAGTGTGTTTTTTAATTGGAAGGGCGATTTTGGAAAAATACTTGGTTTTCTGCATAAAGCTCTCCCCTAGAAGCTTACGGAATAAGCCACTTTCCATATCATTAAGCCGCTACCAACCAGTCATGTGTAACTGAGCGAATAAGTCGTGAGTCCCATTAAACTCATTAAGCTGCTAACAAACAGACCCAAAGACTACAATGAAGTTCACCATAATGAATTCCCTCAACCTCTAGTATCATATATACGGTGAATACTGACACACTATTAGGTGAGGCTTGAACCATTAACCTTTTGGGAGGTTGGGATCTACCGGTAACCTTAGATACCATTAAGCCTTTAAGCCGATGACCATTTGATGGGTAGCAAAATGGCATTACAATATAATTTAAGGGGACTCAAGGCCATAAAAATGCACAAAATCTTGCTACAAAAAGTTCATAATCTTACCATACCAAGAAGAAGATATAACAAGCATGACATTGATGTCAAACTAAGAAAACAACTCCATATGATAACAAGCAACGCGGCTGTTCCCAAACCGAAAAGCGATCCACATCCACGAATAAAACAATCTTTCCATCGAATCATCAAGAAACATAACACTTTACCCAATTTTCCAAACCCATAACAAACATTAGGCCAATGCTGTCTAGTAAATACCCCAATTGTATCCCTGAAACCACAAACAGTCTTCTTAGCTGCAATAGAACACCAAAGGCTTTCCTTTAATAGCCATTTCCATCCTTGATTCAAAACCCCAATATCCCCCATGGCTATCAAAAAGATATTGAGATTCTAGTTACAAATTTACAATTACAACACTTAACATTTCCCTTAATCTTGGATACGACCAAAGATTGAAACCCTGATAAAATTTCCCTTAAAGATTGAAACCCTAATAACATTTCTCTTAATCCTCGATACTAATCAAAAATTGAAACCCTAACAACATTTCCCTTAAAGATTGAAACCCTAACAACATTTCCCTTGAAGAATGAAACTCTAACAACATTTCCCTTAATCCTGGATACTAATCAAAGATTGAAACCCTAATGTGTATCCATGGATTAACCTCTAGGGAAACAAATTTCATCATTTTAGTGAAGCAACAGAATAAGATTTGATGAAGAAAAAAAAACACCCAATTTGCTTCACATCTACGTTTCCTAAAAGGCGAAAACTCCCACTTTCTTTTGACGCAGATAATGATGGTTTTCTGTTCTTTTTGTCGCAGATAGATAACTGCTGATCACGGTGGTCGGATCTTGACAAAGTAAAAACGTAATAATCGGAGAAGATTTATGGGAAATTGACAATGTGATAATGACCATAGGAGAAGTGAATCAGAAGAAGAGACCGACAAATGAGATATGTTTATGGTCTTCGGTGGAAGAAAAAGGAGCACCTTTAATGGCGGAACCCTAACTTTCTCTTTTTTTCCGGTGAAAAAGAAGGGTTTGGAAAAGGCTCCGGTTCCTGTGACGACGGTGGGGAGTGAGTGATTGCGAGAATCGGGAAAAGGGAAATGAACCCATGAAAAGAGTTTATTTCCACGTGTCATTACTCTAAAATTAATAATTAATGTTTTAAGTTTTTTATTTTCCATGTGGAAATAATTTTACATGTTGGTCCCTCTAGTTTGCTTAAAATTTAGATATGGTCCCATAAACTTCGGTATCAATTATGAAGGGACTTGACTCCCAATTTTTTGTAATGTTGGTGGTCCTTCAAGTTGACATTGTTAGCTTAAGATCCGTTAGCCATCTCATATTTCCAGGGGCGGATCCAACCTTTAAGCACTGGGGGGAAAGACCCTCAGTCAAAAACCAAAAACCTTTGTTGACTAACTTAAATTTTATATTTTCACCCTCGTCTTACATGGTTTTCCCCAAGTCTCATCCAACGTGCCCCCACCCAATTAATTTCCTGGATCTGTCACTGCATGTGTCCCTTACGTGAGGTAAAATGACTAAATTGTATACAATATTTAATAGTAAGTTATTTTTTTTTAACAAAAAAGAGGTAAAATGACTAAATTGACCTCATGTAAAAGACATATATCTCAACTTAGCGGACCTTATTTAAAGGCGTTAACTCGAGGGGTCGTTAGTGTTATTAAAATAAAAGGTTAAGGACCATCAATGTAAATAGTGCGTTTAAGGGACCATATCCAAATTTTTAAGCAAATCATAGAAACCTTCGGTGTAATTCATTCTAAAAAAACGTGGATATTTGTAACGATATTATTTCTAATGGGGTATATTCTTATATATATTAGTATTTATGTATTTTACGAATGAATTATGACCGATTCGTCTCTCTTTTCCGTCTTTTGCCGTTGCCATTGTTGTTGCTTCTGCCACCAACTCCTCCACGACATTGCTTCCACACGGCCTCCACTACCACTTCCATTATGCTCTGCCACGTCACTACTTCAGCTCGAGATTCAGGGATTTTGATTCATATTATAGGGTTCTTGAAATAATCCCATTTTGATTTAAGACACACGAGCTTTGCATTTTGAGTAATTTTGAATGAATTTATATGGATTTGTTGCATAGTTCATAGGATATGGATTCGAATTCACATCCTTTTTCGTGTGTATTTGGTTGATTTTTTAATGTCAGAGCTTAAAGATGATTTGTATTTGAATTTTCTATTCTTATAGCTTGAGAAAAGGGAGTCAGGTCAATATTATACAAAAGAGTTAAGAAAGACAAAAAAGAAATACAAAAAGACCAAAATGCCCTTACATACATATACGGGCATTCTTTAATGGGGCTGAATTCAGAGTCAACTAGAGGAAACGACGAAGAATCACAATAAAATGCAAAGCACAACAAAGTCGAGGGACGAAAATCGAACTTTCATGAAACTCTATGGACAAATTTTGTAATTTACTCAAGAAAATATCATTTTTAACTTTTTTTTAGTTTTATTATGACTTTGAATTGAAATTCTACATATAAAACCATTCTCCCCTTTATTAAATATGAAAACATGCTTTCAAGTCCTCAAAATGATTTAAAAAATAATAAAATAAAATAATGAAAATATAAAAATAATATTAAATATTATATTCATATTTATATTTTAAGAGGAAAACCAAACACTTGGTTGGTGTAACCAATGATACCCGCCAAAAAACGTAGAAAATACGAAATAATATTCTAGTCAATGGATAGCTGCTCTCATCACGTGACCAAGCACGTGACGTATTCCCTCATTTCGCAGCAACCGCCAAGTACATCCGAAACAGGAAAACCTACTTTTTAATATATAAATCCCACTTGCCATAAATAGGCCCCATCTAATCACTTTTTAGATCCTATAAGAAACATTAATATTCAATTAGGATCCAATATAACACACACACACATATATATATATATATATATATATAGGGTATATTTCTTTTACAATCTTGTGTATTTGTACAACCCTTGCAACCCAATTAATTGAGATATTTATAGAAATGATGAGAGTTCATTTATTATGATTTAAATATTTATGGAATATAAATAGAGTTCATTAATTATGATTAATACTTTATATTAGGAAACAATCAAAACTTCTATGAAATCACATATTCATAAAATGAAATGAACGGTTGAGATTGGATTGTATTGGTTGCACAAATGTCAAGGGTTGTATAATAACCAACCTCTATATATATATACATATATATATATAGAGTATTTGCGCAATGCATCAAGATACATCTTGATTTTAGTGTTTCGTTTTATATTTTGGGTTTATTGATGTTACAATGTGATTTTATATAGTTTTGATAAAAAGAAAATGTTTATATTTTTGAATGAAATATAAATTTAAAGATATTATAGAATTTTAAAAAAGTAACCGATATTAATGTCAAATTAACTATTTAAAAGTTGTCATTTTTGTGTAATTTTTTTAATTCAATTTTTTATTATAATTTAATGACGAACTAATTTATTTTTGGTTTAATAAAATATTTTTTTAAGTTAATAATTAAGTATTTTATTATAACTCAATGATTATATTAATTATATTTTAGATCTTTTATATTTAAAATGATATTTATCATATATTTGATTATGTTTATCTGCAGTTAGTTACACGAATTCAAAAAATGAAGCTTTAATAAAATGTACTCATGCACATTCTACTTGTAATCTTGAATTTTAAGTAAATATGTATCAATAAACAATATTTTATGTATAAAAAAATGTTTTTAAGAGTTTTTATCAAATGCTTTATAATATAGTATAGATATATAGAGGAGAGTTGGGTTCACGTGAGACCAACATGTTTTCGTAAGACCTGTGAGACCACTTTTTTATACTTGAAAGTTCACAGCAAAACGTTGTGAAGATAAAAAAACCCAAACCTTTACAGTAAAAACACAGTGAATGTTACTTTCACAATGTTTTGCTATGAAGTTTCAAATGTAAAAAAGTTGTCTCATGTGTCAAACGAAAACAAGTTGGTCTCACGTGCTCACAAATCTCTCTCTCTCTCTCTCTCTCTCTCTATATATATATATATATATATATATATGGGGTATGACAAAATAAAAACTTGTTATGATAATTAAATCTATGTATAATTGTGTCGGACAAAAATACAGGTTTGTCCGACCTAAATGTATGGACAAAAATATGAGAAATGGAACAAGATATGTAAATTACTAAACTACTCATGTGAATTCATGGTTGTCTCATCTTTTGCCAACTGAGTTACACGCCAGAGGCCCAAACGCACCCTAAATGATAAAACGACTATTTTCGTAAAAACTCTGCACCATCTTTTACATGAATACAAGTTCAAAAAATTCAATAAAACACCACCAAAAGTTCAAACTTGATTTGATCAAGAACAAAACAAAATCTCTACTAATTTTTCCATTTAAACCCAAAAAAATGTACACATTTACATACCCCTATATATATATATACCTCCAACCTTCCAAAGGATCAAGAATTTCGAAACAAAGAAAAACGAAAAAACGAGCACACAAATCTTCATACGAGTTCCCGTCAATTGGGTCGATCCCATATGTCCGTAAACACCATAGTTGATTGCGAAGTCGTGTTGGACGATAATAGTGAAAGTTCGGCATTGTTATCAGAACCAGATGATGTACTTGTGTTGAATGTGTTCTTTTTTGGATCATTGGTGCCACAGGCAGTAGTCTTATTCGGGTTGCTTCTAATCTTGAGGTCCATGAAATCCGAGATGAGGCCCGGTTTCGTGATCTTGCCCTCATCAACCTTTATCTCACCTGACAACATCTTGACCACGGTTGACATCACGGGTCGCAGCTTTGGATTGTCTTGGGTGCATAAAAGACCGATCTTTAAGTATTTACAAGCTTCTTCGGCATCAAAATCTCCATGCATTGCGGTGTCTACAAGCTCTACCAACTCATTTTTTTCGTAAAGATCCCACGTCTGTAATTACAAGCAAATACCATCAAATTAGACTAGCTCATAAGCATCAATACAACAAAATCGGTTTTATAGGACGCCAAATATGTCTAAATGTCATAATGGACTGCTTTATAAGACTTCAGTTATAGAACCGGTTCGTCATATGTAAAAGTGTTGCAATGATATGACGCTTTTGGGCATCCTAACAAGTTTTTTAAGTACAAATTTTTGAAATAAAACATCCTATTAGTCTTTTTATATGACATTATTTGAAAATATATCTATAAAAAGACGTGTTCATAGGACACTTTATTTCAAAAGTGTCCTAAAAGACGTGTTAATGCATCTAACATCATATTATAACACATTTATATAGGACGCATAATTGTTTGATTTTAAGACATTCAGATGAGGCATATGAGGTAAGGAATGGTAAATACTTACTCTTTCGAGAATATATTGTTCTTCAATAGGCAATAGTGAGTTTGTGTTGCATCTCCCACTGACGATTTCCACGAGAAGAACACCGAAACTATAAACATCAGCTCTACGTGTCAATTGGCCTCGTATTGCATACTCCGGTGCCAAATAACCACTGGACAATGAAACCAACACAAATTTGATGAATAACCAAACAAAACCAAACCAAACGAACCTAGTATACAAAAAAACCAGTATACCCTACAACCTGGAGGTGGGGTCTGGGAGGGGTAAGATGTACATACTTGACCTCTACCTCAAGAGTAGAGTGGTTATTTTCGCGAATACAGACATTTGGTGAATCTCAATGATATATATAGGGTTGGGTTCAGATGAAAACCGCAACAAATGAAAAACTGAGGAACACCTTAGTAACTGTTCATCTGACAGTATGCACAAGTGCATACAAGTAATTTGTAAGCATTTTGTTCGGTATGCAATATGCATCACGTGCACACGTGCATAAAAACCAAGAAACAACTTCAATTACTTGTATGCACATGTGCATACCGTCCGAATAAATGGTTACCAAGGTGTTCCATAGTTTCTCTTATTGTTTTGGGGTTTTCCCCTGAACCTCCCTCCCTCCCTCTCTCTCTCTCTCTCTCTCTATATATATATATATATATATATATAGGTCGCTGAAAGAAAAGAAAAATTATAGAAACATGTGACACGGGTCTTACATTGTTCCAGCTACACGCGTACTAACGTGAGTCATATTGCTGGGGATGAGTTTTGCTAGACCGAAATCCGAAATCTTGGGTGTTAAGTCTTTATCAAGAAGAATATTGCCGGCTTTGATATCCCGATGAACTATATGTGGGCGTACTTCCTCATGAAGATAAGCAAGCCCTCGTGCAATTCCAATGCAAATCTTGGTTCTTGTTCGCCAACTGAACTGGATAGAACTATGGCCGTTACCTTGAAAGAAGAAAAGTTCAAAACTTTTTAGCAAACACCATAAGGAATACGAAAATATGTGCCTATGGTACACAGACAAGACTGGACATGACTGAACTAGACAGAGTTGAAGGTTTTAGGGTTTTAATTTGACATGGATAGTTCAGTAATTTACCAAACTTGTCTCATCTCTCTGACTTTTGTTCCACCTATTTTGGTGTGACAGAAAAAATAATTTTTATCCCACTCAGTCTTGTTCTGTCCAATCCTAGTCTAATTGTTGCATCAATCGCCAAACGACAAGTTTTTATTCTGTTATGTTATGGTCAACTTACCAAGAAGGGTCTGCGCCAGACTGTTATTCTCGATATAATCGTAGACCAAAATCCTGTGACTGCCCTCAACACAACATCCACAAAGCTTGGCTAAGTTTTCGTGCTCGATCTCATAAATCACTTTGATTTCCGTCAAGAACTCTCTTGCTCCTTGTCTTGATTCAGCCGAAAGAACCTTTATAGCTGCTTCTTTCCCATGTTTCAATCTTCCCTAACAACCCAAACAAAACCGTATTAACAAAACAAACCATTTGTTTTATGAAAATGACGACAAAACAAAACCATTTTAAAGATTTCTTGAAAATTAAAATACATACATATAGGTCAGGTTCAAGGAAAAACCGCAAAAAAATGAAAAATTGAGGAATATCCTATAAACCATTCATAAGTACGGTATGCACATGTGCATACAAGTAATTTTTCAGTATGCACACATGTGCATAGAAACCAGGAAACATCTTCACTATGCACTGTGCATACTGTACATATAAACGGTTTTTAGGGTGTTCCTCAGTTTTTCATTTTTTAGGCGTTATCCCCAAAACCTCCCTCTCTCTCTCTCTCTCTCTCTCTCTCTATATATATATATATATATATACTAGTTGTGTACCCGCGCAATGCGGCGGGAGCCATGAATTTTAACGATTTTGAAGTTCTACTTGTTTTATAAGATAAGATTTAACGATGATATAGGTTACACTTGATCTTTACATATTAATACAATTTGAATAAATAAGAGTTATGGTTCCAATTACAGACTATCG